TTAGGCTACATTTTTCCCAGTTCTGTGCTTTTTTTTCTTCTTCTTCTTTTTTGTATTTTTGTCAGCTACTTTTTTACTTTTACACAGTATATTTCTAGTAAATAAAGATAACTAAACATATCATACAAAATATGTGGTAAAAAAATATGACCTGTCATATAGTACACTGAAAGTTATCTGTAGAGTTTCAAAATGTCTGTTTTTACTTACAAGAAATATACAGAGTTTAATACAAGTTAAGCTCAGTCAACAACATTTGTGTGATAATGCTGATTACCCCCCCCCAAAAAATTTTTTTTTTACTCGTCCCTCATTTCCATAAAAAACCAAGGCTATAATGAGGCATAATGGAAGTGCATGAGGCTCAAAGATTTTAAAAGCTGATAAAACTTCAATTCATTTTTGTAGTTGTTTTAGTTTTAAGTTTCATTGTCATGCCAACAAAGTTGTAAAATTGGATTTAACTTTACATAGAAAAAAGTTGTGATATTTCACACTAAAAACAAGTTAATATGCATATTGTTTACATATTGAGGCTATACTATTGAAACACTGAGTATTTTAATGTTTAAGGGTTGATCCAATTCACTTACATTATAAGTTCCTCACTGTAACTCAGATTTTTGCTATTTATTTTATTTTTGCTTTTATTTAATAATTTATAGATAAAGCAGTATAATTCTAAGACATTAGCATTAGCGAGTTTATTGATTCTGTGGAGTGCATCCAAACGACATGATAATAAGTCAAATTAATTTAAATTCAAATTTAAACAGTCCTTTCAAACAGAGCTGAAATATCACTCATCTTGCTCTCAGAGATGTGCAGAAATACTTTGCAGAGAAAAGTATATTAATTATTTTCTTATGGTTACAGGTAAAACTATGTATGTTTTTTTTTAATTGTACGACATAAAATAGACAATGCATTAAATACATTGTAATGTGCTATATTAGAAATGAAAGCAAGTATTTCCCAACCACTTTGGCCAAATCTACTTGAGTCCAGTTGAAGCTCTAGAAGTTTAATTTCAAAAGCTAAAAGCCCAAAGTTTGTTGAGTTCAGGGGTGATCGCTGAGTTGATCAGACGGAGGAGTTGGCCGTGGGTTCTTCAGGAGAGCAGCTGGGCAGTGGCGAGTCTAACTCCGTCGCAGACACAGACTGACTCAGCTCCCTCAGCGAGCTCTTAGTGAAGTTCAAACACGACCTCCTCACCAGTTTACGCACCTTCTTGGTTAGCAGTACGTACAGAATCGGGTTGACGCAGCTGTTGAAGAAGGCCAGGCTGGTGGCGAGTGGGAAGCCCACGATGAGCACAGAGTGCAGGTAGGTGGTGTGATGCATGCTCAGCTCCATCAGGCTGAACGTGTGAAATGGCACCCAACACAAGAAGAAAGCAAGAATCACGGCTGAGACAGTTCTGGAGAAGCTGGTCAAGCGTACCGAGTCGGATCGGCGCATCTTAATAGCCAGCAGAACGCCGCTGATGGTGATGGTTGCAAACGGAAGCAGAAAGCCCACGATGGTGCGCAGCGACACCATCGCAATGTGCCTCACCGCCATCATGTGCCTGCTCTCATCGTGAAAGTTATTAAAACACACAACCTTCCCTTTATGCTGGATCACGTCACGGAATATCAGGGCCGGACAGCTTAGACAGCAGGACGTGATCCAAATCAGCGCACAGACCCACCAGGCCCTCCGGACGTTTCGATACCTTTCCGACCAGCTCATATGGACCAGTGAGATGTAGCGATCCAAGCTCAGGACGGTCAGAAACAGCACGCTGGCGTACATGTTCATGGTGCACACGAACGAGTTCAGCTTGCACACGGTCTTCCCGAAGAGCCAGTGAAAGTCTCGCAGCACGTAGTCAATGGAGAATGGCAGGAAGAGCACAAACACAAAGTCGGCGATGGCCAGATTCTGCAGCCAAACGCTGTTCACGGTCCGTTTGCTTTTGAAGGCGGTCACCCAGATGACCAGGCCGTTCCCGATTACTCCCAGAGTAAACGCCAGGCTGTAGATGATCACTGATATGATGTGAAGAGCTTCTTTCTGAGTGTAGGCTCCAGCCTTGGTCTCCTCCACATTTTCATAGTCCGCGTATTCATAAGTGCCGTTTACATAGTCCCCGTCTTCCTGGGTCATCATTCTATAAACAAAATAGGAAAGAAAAATCACAAATAAGATTTCTTTAATATCTATTGTGAGATTAATGAGATTAAATGGAGATTTTTGCTTAAAGTTGAAGTTGACTCCCCCACTTGACACTGGTCGGTTAAACAGTTAACCCCGCCCCATTGTCACACCATTGGTTGAGCCAATGCTACTGTGTTGGGCTGCTTGGGATGATCAAGCAAACAGATAACCTAGGCTCATTCGAGAACTGTGGCAATATTTCTGTAAAATGATACGAAGAGTTCATTTGAAAAACTGATAACTTCGTTTTTTTTTACATGTTCAAAATTCATGTTTTCTTTATCCTGCATTCCAAATAATATAAATCAAACTGCAGTTGGGTTGTTTTGATTAAATAATAATAACTAAAAAAATACAGCTAACTAACACAATAAAACACAATAAAAACATGAATAAAAACTGAGTTATCTGTTTTTGCAAATAAACTCTTCATTTAATGTTGCTTCTTGCACGTTTTCCGACACTTTTAAAGTGAAGTGTCTAGTGAGTGACGCTAAAAATGCTTTCATTTGCAAACCAGCAACATTTTATTACGTTGGTCGTTGTACGTATTGTCAAATTTTGGAAAAGTAAAAGTGATCGCACTAGAAGTTTAATGCTCACGTTTGAAAATAACTTGGCAGCACCAACTCTAAACCCTAACCTAAACCTTACCAACAGTGTTAACCAATGCAACTGTGAGATAAAAATGCATTTGCTGAAGCAACCATGCCATTTTAGCTTGCTTCTACAAGTCTTTGTGCTCTTTTATGATGATTTGTGTTTCTCAGGACGCATACCAAGCACTGTACCAGGTGAGCTGCTGAGCAAGTTTACTATATCATAAATGCTTACTTCAAAATGTATTCGTTTACAAGCACAAGAATAAAAGTTGTTGGTATTTTACTGCCTCTAATGTTAATTTCAGCTGGAAACTGTAGTGAATATGTAAGTCTTGTAAGGTTTCAAACAGAGCAATGTTTTAATAGCACCACTCTTTTCTGTTTACTCTTTTCAGGGGAATCAGCCTACAAAAAAAGTTGATACTGTAAGTAAACCATTACTGTAATACTGTAAGTATTAACCTTTGCTTAATAAACTGAGTTTCAGCATTAAAAAATAGACACATCTCGACAATGTTTTAAACTGCGCTCGTATTTAACAAGATACCAAATTCTCCAATCAAAAGTAATAATTTTTTAGCTCAATACATTTACTATATGTCAAAAACTGTCTCATTTGTATCTCTTCTTATTCCTTCTAAGGCAAATTTGGCACATAGTCGAAACATAACAGATTTCCAGCCTCTTGAGTTATTAAAGAGCCACACCTGAGCAACCACTTTCCTCTGTGAATCGCACAGAAGTATTTTAACAGACACACAGACTTATAACAGAGTCTCTCTACTTTATGTCTACAACATGAAAATATTGAACATGTTATTCTCTCTGAGTAGGCCTAGATCGAAATCGATCCCAGATTTTGCAACTATCAAGGCGCCTCAATCCAAACACACTCTTTGAAAGACATTTCAGAGTTAGAGAATTACCTGACAGCGTCCTGCTCACAGACTTCAGCTCCTCTGCAAGAATTCCTGTGTCGATTTCACAAAAAGATTTGTGATATCCCTGATGGGTGTTTCCCTGTTATTGTTCTGGCAGCAGAATGAGAGAGAGAGTGAGATAGAGGGTAAGAGAGGTGAAGGAGGAGTGAAAAGAAAGGATGTGGACTGAGTATGGCACTTCCACACACACACACACTTTTGTCCCTACATAAAATCATTCCCGTGTTTTGTTTTCTGTGCCTTCAGGAGCGCTGGGGTCTGTGGTCAGAGTTTTGCCAGCATGTGCACAGAAGGTTTTTATGATTCTGCTCTGTCACTAACTCACAAACCTCTCACTCAACAGGAATGTTTCTCTGCAGGATCTTTCCATATGTGCTTCCAGAGGACTTTATGATCCTAAAGAGAGATGTAGGATTTTTCTCTCTCTGGAAATGTGATCTGTTAAGAAACGTGACTGCCATTGTGATGGGGTCAACACAAATTAGCTCATGTCACGACTGAGCTGTCGTTGCATGCACAGTGCAATGAGCAACAACTGATATTATATACAAAGCTAATTATGACACACCACTGCAGAATGAATCAAAACTTGAGCAATAAGGGCAGAGATGTTTCAATAGCCTGCCCTGCCAAATAAAATCAGAACCCAAACAAGGTTTTATGGTGTGATGATGCCACTGAAGTACCTTTTTGTCTCTCAAAGAACTTTACATTCACTGGTAGTTCTTTACAAAACCATTATGACAAAAAAATCAACATCTATTGAATCTAACCTGTCAAGAACTTGTTGTTTGTGCCAAACTTAAAATGATATAAAAACAGCGAATGAAGGACTTTCATTGTTTAATGAGTTTGATGCGTTTAGTGCGTCTGTGGTAAATTCACTGGAAAACGGTTAGCCTAACAGTTCGTAACCAGGATACAGTTTTATAATAAAATAGTTAAACTAAACAAAATATACTGTAATAAAAGCGTTACCATACCTTGTTTGTTGTCGAGGATGTTGTTCGCTAGAGCAGGTCGTAACCCTCAAATCTTTACGCAAATGCTTCCCCCATTAGTTGGAAGCTGTAAAGCCGTGTAAATTGTCGTATTATACTACAGTCGTTTGGAGGAGTTCAGTTCACGCAGTTCAGAGAGCTGATAAATGAACTCGCACTGAATGAAGCCGATGTTACAAAGAAGCGACTGTGCACACGTCTCTCTCTCTCTCTCTCGCTCTCTCTCTCTCTTTCTCTCTCTCTCTCTCAGTTGAAGCTCTAGAAGTTTAATTTCAAAAGCTAAAAGCCCAAAGTTTGTTGAGTTCAGGGGTGATCGCTGAGTTGATCAGACGGAGGAGTTGGCCGTGGGTTCTTCAGGAGAGCAGCTGGGCAGTGGCGAGTCTAACTCCGTCGCAGACACAGACTGACTCAGCTCCCTCAGCGAGCTCTTAGTGAAGTTCAAACACGACCTCCTCACCAGTTTACGCACCTTCTTGGTTAGCAGTACGTACAGAATCGGGTTGACGCAGCTGTTGAAGAAGGCCAGGCTGGTGGCGAGTGGGAAGCCCACGATGAGCACAGAGTGCAGGTAGGTGGTGTGATGCATGCTCAGCTCCATCAGGCTGAACGTGTGAAATGGCACCCAACACAAGAAGAAAGCAAGAATCACGGCTGAGACAGTTCTGGAGAAGCTGGTCAAGCGTACCGAGTCGGATCGGCGCATCTTAATAGCCAGCAGAACGCCGCTGACGGTGATGGTTGCAAACGGAAGCAGAAAGCCCACGATGGTGCGCAGCGACACCATCGCAATGTGCCTCACCGCCATCATGTGCCTGCTCTCATCGTGAAAGTTATTAAAACACACAACCTTCCCTTTATGCTGGATCACGTCACGGAATATCAGGGCCGGACAGCTTAGACAGCAGGACGTGATCCAAATCAGCGCACAGACCCACCAGGCCCTCCGGACGTTTCGATACCTTTCCGACCAGCTCATATGGACCAGTGAGATGTAGCGATCCAAGCTCAGGACGGTCAGAAACAGCACGCTGGCGTACATGTTCATGGTGCACACGAACGAGTTCAGCTTGCACACGGTCTTCCCGAAGAGCCAGTGAAAGTCTCGCAGCACGTAGTCAATGGAGAATGGCAGGAAGAGCACAAACACAAAGTCGGCGATGGCCAGATTCTGCAGCCAAACGCTGTTCACGGTCCGTTTGCTTTTGAAGGCGGTCACCCAGATGACCAGGCCGTTCCCGATTACTCCCAGAGTAAACGCCAGGCTGTAGATGATCACTGATATGATGTGAAGAGCTTCTTTCTGAGTGTAGGCTCCAGCCTTGGTCTCCTCCACATTTCCATAGTCCGCGTATTCATAAGTGCCGTTTACATAGTCCCCGTCTTCCTGGGTCATCATTCTATAAACAAAATAGGAAAGAAAAATCACAAATAAGATTTCTTTAATATCTATTGTGAGATTAATGAGATTAAATGGAGATTTTTGCTTAAAGTTGAAGTTGACTCCCCCACTTGACACTGGTCGGTTAAACAGTTAACCCCGCCCCATTGTCACACCATTGGTTGAGCCAATGCTACTGTGTTGGGCTGCTTGGGATGATCAAGCAAACAGATAACCTAGGCTCATTCGAGAACTGTGGCAATATTTCTGTAAAATGATACGAAGAGTTCATTTGAAAAACTGATAACTTCGTTTTTTTTTACATGTTCAAAATTCATGTTTTCTTTATCCTGCATTCCAAATAATATAAATCAAACTGCAGTTGGGTTGTTTTGATTAAATAATAATAACTAAAAAAATACAGCTAACTAACACAATAAAACACAATAAAAACATGAATAAAAACTGAGTTATCTGTTTTTGCAAATAAACTCTTCATTTAATGTTGCTTCTTGCACGTTTTCCGACACTTTTAAAGTGAAGTGTCTAGTGAGTGACGCTAAAAATGCTTTCATTTGCAAACCAGCAACATTTTATTACGTTGGTCGTTGTACGTATTGTCAAATTTTGGAAAAGTAAAAGTGATCGCACTAGAAGTTTAATGCTCACGTTTGAAAATAACTTGGCAGCACCAACTCTAAACCCTAACCTAAACCTTACCAACAGTGTTAACCAATGCAACTGTGAGATAAAAATGCATTTGCTGAAGCAACCATGCCATTTTAGCTTGCTTCTACAAGTCTTTGTGCTCTTTTATCATGATTTGTGTTTCTCAGGACGCATACCAAGCACTGTACCAGGTGAGCTGCTGAGCAAGTTTACTATATCATAAATGCTTACTTCAAAATGTATTCGTTTACAAGCACAAGAATAAAAGTTGTTGGTATTTTACTGCCTCTAATGTTAATTTCAGCTGGAAACTGTAGTGAATATGTAAGTCTTGTAAGGTTTCAAACAGAGCAATGTTTTAATAGCACCACTCTTTTCTGTTTACTCTTTTCAGGGGAATCAGCCTACAAAAAAAGTTGATACTGTAAGTAAACCATTACTGTAATACTGTAAGTATTAACCTTTGCTTAATAAACTGAGTTTCAGCATTAAAAAATAGACACATCTCGACAATGTTTTAAACTGCGCTCGTATTTAACAAGATACCAAATTCTCCAATCAAAAGTAATAATTTTTTAGCTCAATACATTTACTATATGTCAAAAACTGTCTCATTTGTATCTCTTCTTATTCCTTCTAAGGCAAATTTGGCACATAGTCGAAACATAACAGATTTCCAGCCTCTTGAGTTATTAAAGAGCCACACCTGAGCAACCACTTTCCTCTGTGAATCGCACAGAAGTATTTTAACAGACACACAGACTTATAACAGAGTCTCTCTATGTCTACAACATGAAAATATTGAACATGTTATTCTCTCTGAGTAGGCCTAGATCGAAATCGATCCCAGATTTTGCAACTATCAAGGCGCCTCAATCCAAACACACTCTTTGAAAGACATTTCAGAGTTAGAGAATTACCTGACAGCGTCCTGCTCACAGACTTCAGCTCCTCTGCAAGAATTCCTGTGTCGATTTCACAAAAAGATTTGTGATATCCCTGATGGGTGTTTCCCTGTTATTGTTCTGGCAGCAGAATGAGAGAGAGAGTGAGATAGAGGGTAAGAGAGGTGAAGGAGGAGTGAAAAGAAAGGATGTGGACTGAGTATGGCACTTCCACACACACACACACTTTTGTCCCTACATAAAATCATTCCCGTGTTTTGTTTTCTGTGCCTTCAGGAGCGCTGGGGTCTGTGGTCAGAGTTTTGCCAGCATGTGCACAGAAGGTTTTTATGATTCTGCTCTGTCACTAACTCACAAACCTCTCACTCAACAGGAATGTTTCTCTGCAGGATCTTTCCATATGTGCTTCCAGAGGACTTTATGATCCTAAAGAGAGATGTAGGATTTTTCTCTCTCTGGAAATGTGATCTGTTAAGAAACGTGACTGCCATTGTGATGGGGTCAACACAAATTAGCTCATGTCACGACTGAGCTGTCGTTGCATGCACAGTGCAATGAGCAACAACTGATATTATATACAAAGCTAATTATGACACACCACTGCAGAATGAATCAAAACTTGAGCAATAAGGGCAGAGATGTTTCAATAGCCTGCCCTGCCAAATAAAATCAGAACCCAAACAAGGTTTTATGGTGTGATGATGCCACTGAAGCACCTTTTTGTCTCTCAAAGAACTTTACATTCACTGGTAGTTCTTTACAAAACCATTATGACAAAAAAATCAACATCTATTGAATCTAACCCGTCAAGAACTTGTTGTTTGTGCCAAACTTAAAATGATATAAAAACAGCGAATGAAGGACTTTCATTGTTTAATGAGTTTGATGCGTTTAGTGCGTCTGTGGTAAATTCACTGGAAAACGGTTAGCCTAACAGTTCGTAACCAGGATACAGTTTTATAATAAAATAGTTAAACTAAACAAAATATACTGTAATAAAAGCGTTACCATACCTTGTTTGTTGTCGAGGATGTTGTTCGCTAGAGCAGGTCGTAACCCTCAAATCTTTACGCAAATGCTTCCCCCATTAGTTGGAAGCTGTAAAGCCGTGTAAATTGTCGTATTATACTACAGTCGTTTGGAGGAGTTCAGTTCACGCAGTTCAGAGAGCTGATAAATGAACTCACGCACTGAATGAAGCCGATGTTACAAAGAAGCGACTGTGCACACGTCTCTCTCTCTCTCTCTCGCTCTCTCTCTCTCTTTCTCTCTCTCTCTCTCTCTCGCTCTCTCTCTCAGCACAGCAGTGCGCAACAGATGAGCGTTCATTTTTGACACAAATAAATACTTTATTTTGTGACAGTAAATATATGTATTTACAACCTCTAGACTTCTTTTGAAAACATCCTGAATAAAATCACAGTTGCTACAAAACATATTAAGCAGCACATCTGTTTTCAACACTGATACAGTATAGTAAGATATGTAGGTTACACTTTATTTTAAGGTGTCCTTGTTACAGTGTAATTATACATTTAAGTACTGAGTAATATTAATTAACTACATGTACTTACTATATGGTTAGGGTTAGGATTAGGGTTACTTCCGTGTAATTATGCATAATTATTTGTTATTATTATAGTAAGTACATGTAACATGTGTGTCTGTGGTTTGTAATCAGCTCTAATCTTTGCAATCTGTCAGTACACAGATCTATATTTTGCAGTTCAGTGTGGTCTTACATGAACAGGATGTATATGTGATTTAATTCAAACCTTAAGGGATGCCTGTGAGTCACTTCCTATGCCTTGGCTTAGAAACTGCAGATGTAGAGCGAAATTTAAACGTTGTTGATTAAATAGCTCATAGGCCTTCATGAACACCGCTATTCATAAAAAGTTCTCAACATTTCTGTTCATTTGTAAAATATTTTGCCTTAACATAATACTACACAGTTTACACATCTGATTCTGATATGGTTATGCATATTTTTCAGATGGATGTCACATAAATAATATATATGGTGAATAGGTAAAAGTGGACACTTTTTGAAAATTGGTTATTAGCATTATGAAATATAATGCCAAATGGCTTAGACTCACAAAAAAATATGATTTTAAATAACTAATTATCTCCACTCTACTATTTAGATAAAAAGGAAGATATATTAATTACAATAATATTGACTTAAAATTATTCATAAACCCCAATGCATCATTGTTCAGACTGGGACACCTTGTCAGAGTGGGACACCTATTTTTATTTATTATTATTATTATTATTATTATTATTATTATTATTATTATTATTTTGCCACAACAGCATTTCATTGATAAACTGCATGCCAACAAACTGTATTTTTTTATTCATAATTTTATTTTCCTCTGATTTATGTCTTCCCTTATTTCTAATCTGGCCTCTTCTTCCCTTTCCCTTTGCTGTCTTTGTTACCTGCCATTGGATAGGAACCTTAAATATAACACATGGTTTTAATCTTCTAGACTGCACTTTAAAGGGCAAATTCCCTATTAAAATGACATAAATATATGTCTCAATAAGACACCATCGCAGCTGAGCAAGAGATGGTTAACAAACTGGAACAATGTCAGCATTCTTGCCCTAAAAAATGTTATGTTTTTTTTTTACCCGATCCATTGCCGCATCAAAACACATCACAATCACAAACTATGCATACCATTTGACTGTTTTAAAACCTTAACATGATTTGCCTCAGAGGACTTTGTCATCACATAGTGTGTGTATGACACCCCCTGAACTGCTGTCACAACTGAACAAGCCCTTTTCATCCCAGTTTAGGATGAACTGGGATGCATTTTTTAATAGTAGCCAGACTTCTTCTGTGTTGATGTAACATGCTGTAAACATGAAGTAAATGATGGACATGACATAAACATGGGTAACACTTTACATTAAGGTTCCCTTTATAAAGGGTTTATAAAGGTGTTAATACATGACTAATAACTCACTTAAAAATGCATTATAAATCATTGATATACAGTTATAAATGCATGAATAGAAAGCTGATTTTAATGCAATACCTGCCAAATAGTGAGCCATTTTTAACTCACGTTATAAATGCTTAACAAATATATTTGTTAATACTTATTTCACTCCTGATTTATTTCATGATGCAGCAAAAATTTACTATTATAGCAAGACTGAAGGGTGTTGTATTTATGGTTTTCTCATTTATATCTCATGACTCACTTTTCTTACAATGTTTTTTACCAGAATCTACTCTGTACCTTACCCATGATTCTCCGCAAAAGTTCATGATGCCTATCCACAGCAATGATTAGAAACTGATATATTTTGTCTATCAATATGAAATTATCATCTTGATTTTTATTTTGGGGGGGAAATCATAAAAGCACAACCATGACTTAATGAGACATTAAAGGGGTCATATGATGCGATTTCAAGTTTTCCTTTCTCTTTGGAGTGTTACAAGCTCTTGGTGCATAAAGAAGATCTGTAAAGTTGCAAAGACTAAA